GTAGTTGTCTTGTTCCTTAAAATCTGTGTAAGTCATTAAATAGTAGTCCATTACAGAAAAGCATCTTCTACTTATTCTTAGTAAAAGAAATGGCTTCGATTAAGGAATCTGAGTGGCAGAAATATAAACCCTTTTAGTAAATAGTTCTTTTTTTTGTACAACATTCATTTAGGAAATTGCACAAGACCTTTAGAGAGATTTAATAAAGCTATGCAGCATTAGGAAAGGGCAAAACCATACTTCGTGTTTTCATTTGTCAAGATTAAAATAAACTGATATTAGTCCATGCTTTCTTTTAATTTGTTGAAATTGTTGTCAAAAAAGTGAAATACCTGGTAGCAAGAAATCTTGAAGAAAGCCTCTCTGAAGAAATGAATGAAAATAATGTTGTGAGAGGCACATAAGTAAATTGAAATTATTTTTATAGTGTCCTTTTTGTAATAAAAATGGAGATTATAAGGAAAAAACATGGAGTTCATGGAGTGAACAGTTTATCTCTGTGTGCCTCCTGGTTTTATCAAGGAAAATATATGTGTAAAGAAGCTTGACAGAAAATTCTTGTTTCTCACTGTATGTTCTCATTTACAAGTTGCAGTGTTTTAGGGCTCTCAGATTTGTTTGGGAGACTTATGTATGATAACAGAAAATTTGCAGAAATTGTTCACACATTTAGTTAGTTACTTTTTTTCCCCCTAGCAGGTGCTTTTTGTCTTCCACCTTGAGTATTAGAAATTTAATAGTCATAATGTTCTGCAGGATCTAGCCCTCAGTTGCATTTCAACCAGCAGCTAAAACAAATAAAATTGCAGTACGTAATATTAATAAATGTGTTCGTGCATGTGGATGTCTGTTTGTCTTTCTGTGTTTATACACACACTCATATGTATAGTAAGGATGTGTGTCTGTTATACCAGTATCCCCATCAGACTTCAAACCGAGGTGGTTAAACATAGTGGAATCGCAGTGGTAGAAAAGGTGGGGGGAAGGACCCCTGAATTCAGGGTACTCTGCATGAGAGAGTTGGATCTTCTTTCGCGTTTAGTCCTATTCAGTTCTAACCCTGCTCTCATTTAAAGCAAGAGTGATGTTCCCAGTTGTGTGCTTTGGGGAATTTAATGGTTTTTAAGGGTGCCTAGAAAATACTATACCTGAGTGGGGGGAAAAGGAAAAATAGTATCATTTGTTCAAATTGCACAGATACTAAGTTCGTAGATAAAGTTAAAAAAACATCGAATATTGATTTGCTTTGTGACCAACTTAGGTGTTAAATTGCTAATTTGTATTTTGCACTATGATGATACTTGCTAATAATGTCAGACAATTGTATTTTGATGTAAGCTCACATAGTTATGATGCCTTAATTAAATGTTTGGAAATAAAAGAAGCTGTTGAGCTATGTACAGTTTTTGTAACTTGAAACGTTTTTAATGAGATTCCCACAGAAACAGATTTAAAAACATCCAAATGCTTTCCTTGTATTCTAATAATTGTATCAGAATAGTATGTTAGTGTGAAATTCCAACATGTTTCTGTCCCGATGGCTTTTCTTGTGATTTTATTTTAGCTGCATAGATTTTACTTCTTGGTCATGAATTTAGTCTCTGTGAAGGCCAAGAAGTGGAAACCCTCTATCATTCCAGCAATACACAGGACTCTCTCCACTGCTGTATCAGGAAATCTCGAGTAACAGTTTTATGATGTATGAGGATATTATTCTCTGCAAGCAATAACACGCATTTCTATTTCCCCAGCAATATCCACATAATCAAACATTCACAAGTGCTTTACAAAGAATTTAATTAAATAGTGTGCAGAGTAACTGGATGCAGCATGCACACAAGCTGTTATATATTCAGTAGTTCACATTTTGCAGTTAGTGCAGAACACTTCTGTGCAGTATGTGTGAATACTATTTCTGTCAAAACGTGCATCATCACCCCTCCTATTGTACCTTGCTCCTGAAAAATTACACTAAAACCTTAACAGATGTCACCTCCAGGAGCACAGGATACCTTCATCAGTGCTCTAATGGTATGATAAACAGAGGGAAATACAAATTCTTATGTTGAGACTTGAACATCAAACATTGTTCCTCTGAAATCAAATGCTTATGACTCCCCAGAGAAAGATATAGATTATTGTGTCTTTTACCACTAAACTAGGCGTGTTTGGAATTTTATTTAAAGGTAGTAGAAATTTGTGGAGCAATCAAGATCAACCACTGAATAATTTAATTTCTAAATTAACACCAAGACTTGGACATTCAGAGTTTAGACATGAACAATGAGAAGCAAAAGATGTCTCATTTTGTGATAATGAGTATGTTCAGAGTCCATTCTGTCAGTCACTGGAGATTAGGAAAGTCTCTGTTTTGGCATTAAAGTGCAGTGCATCAGATCCTGCACTAGGAAAAGGTAGGAGTGTGTTCATATGTTGTAGTACACTTCTTAATTCATTCAGCATTATTGGCATGCTCATGTCACCTGTGAGGATTAGCATTCTGTAAGCCGACAGGGTTGCGTTTTGTTTTGTCTGTTCAGAAAAGCCCTTTAAGCATTAGCTGATGCATGAGAGGAGTTTCCAGGCTTGCAGAGCAACGGGGCTGTGTTGGGTGAAAGTGATTTAGAATATCCCTCTGCGGTTGTCTACCTGCAAGGCAGTTAGCCGTCCATCAGATTGGAAGGTTTTATTGGTATGTCAGTGCTATAAAGTATCAGTCTAAACCAGCAGACCAATACCAATGACAGAAATAGTGAAAGACAGTCTATAATTAGCCTGTAAAGGTGTTTAGTATGAGACCTCACCCTAGTTTCCCAGTTCCACAGTTATTCCAGTTTATTACTGGCTGACACTGGCAAAATCTGGCCATGATGACTGGCAAGAAAGACCAAAAACTACAAATGAGCCCAAAGGAGAGAAACAAAAGGATCAGTTAAAAGTAAGGAACTGGTTTTACTTTCATGCTAGTTCTATTTCAGTGTCACATTGCTTATTTGAGGGGAATTGCTGAAAACTGAATTGGTAATTGTAAATAAGAATGGAGTCTCTCTGTATTCTTCTTCTGAAGATGCCTTCTGGAGGAAAGTTTAATCACTGTAGGAAAAGTTACGGCTTTCTTTACAGAGTTGAGAATGGGAGAGATTCCCATTTAATGTTAATGAAGATTCTCCATTGACTTCAGTGATTTCACCCAGTAGCCTTCATGTCCTTTTTTTTTTCATCCTTGTCCCTTCTTTGTGCGGCAGACAGGAGTTTTTCATTTTGCATGTTATTTATAACAAATTGCCGTTATTCTAAAAAATTAGTACCGTTTGATCTTCAACTGAAGAAGAAAAGGAAAGCATGTAATTTTGAATTTACTCACATGTCTAATCTTGAACACCATATTTTGGATTTTTGCTTTATTTTCTTTAATTAGGCTCTTGTTCTAGTGTCTGCCTTTATAGAAAATATTTATTCTTTACCATTTGTAGTATATCTCTGTTTGCAATTTGAATATTTTCGGTTTGCTTGTATTTGGAAATAGCTGCTAGACTCTCTCTGTGATTCCACTAGAAGGCTGGTATTTTTATGCTTCCTGCAGCAGGCCCTTTTTGGGAGTGCTGGAATATATCCAAGTTCTCCATTCCTGATATTTCAGTGGCAACTTCCTGTGAATCCTCAAGTAGAGCTCCTGCTGTCAGGTTGTTCTCAAGCCAGTTCCACCACATGTATCAGCAAGCCAAAACAGACAAACCTAGGAGATGTGTCAGTGCTGTGATATAATTTAGAGTATTCTTTAGAATAAGGAGGTCAGAATTTTTCTTCTTTAGATTAGGAAGTCAACCTAGAGACCTTTCATCCCACCCAGTGAAGTACCACCTAGACATACTTGTGCTGACTGTGAATGAACTAGCTTTGGAACCAGAAGTAATACAGCCAAGTGAGCGGAGTGTGGCAGCCAGGCTAATTAATTAAGAAGCCAGGCTAATTAGTTTGACTGGAGGGAGCACCATGCTGATGTGACGGTATAGCTTCCAAAATTCTGCCTGCTTTGTACATAGGTTGCAGTGGGGTTCTTGTACACATACAAGTTTTTTCTAGGCTCTTTCAGGTGTTTTTGCCATGAAGCAGCATTGTGTATTGGTTTATTCTCTATGTCAATTTACGGTAATTTTAGATTTATTTCCAGACTGGTAGTCAATTTTAGTTCCTTCTCAATCTTCTGCAGTAAGATTTTTCCAACACCTAGATAGACATTGTAGTATTGTTTTGTTCAACCTCATGCCACTGAGAGAAATTCCTCACGGCTTTTTTTTTTTTTTTACCTGATGAAGGACCTTCCCATCTTCTTCCTAAAATTTTGTCACTTATTGAATACAGAACTGAAGTAATATTCCTGAAGTTGTGTATGGCACCACTGTTCCAGCCTGCGGGGCTGAGAGGTGGCTGTCAGCAGTCCTGTTCTCAGAAGATGCATGCTAGCAATAGTGCACACTGAAAGATGCCTTGTTTTGTAAGAACTGTTGATCCTGAACAGTTTGCCATCTTTCTGGTTGTTATGAAACAGCATTTCTTCAGTGCTCCCCTTAATGTCAGTCCTTACATACAGTTTGGTGTGCAAGATGTTCATAAAGCAGTCACTTTAATGAAAAGAGAAAAAATACCTGTGGTAAAAGTCTGTGTTACTACATTGATATGGTACAGTAAACATGAGAAGCAGTATCAAACCCAGAAGTAAATGAACAAGGTATTGTAAATAAGCTAGATTCTGTTTAGAAATACCAAGTACTGTGTTACAGCAATAACATGGTAATCATGTGTGAACAGTGGCATAAGATACAAAATGAATATTTTATTAATGTTTCCTAAATTACATTACTAGAGAGCTGAAATTAAGTTTTGTTTATTACATGTATGTTATTTAAAGTGCTTTTAGTAATCATTTATGGCCTTACTTACAATAGCTCTTCAGTATAGTAGCTCCCACAAGGAGTTAACATATATTTTTCTATTTCTAGATCTGTTAGCTGTGCCCAAGCATCCATATGCTGCTATGGAGAACTGGGGACTGAGTGTTTTTGTGGAGCAAAGGATACTGCTAGATCCAAGCATTTCTTCTATATCATACCTACTGGATGTCACCATGGTCATTGTACATGAGCTATGTCATCAGGTATTAAAGGTGTTCAGATATTTGATATTAATGTCAGAAACCATGCATTCCTTTTCAAAACAATGAATTTGTGTTGTTCACATAGACAGTTGCAACTTTTATTGTAACTGGAGTCCAAATAATATGGAGATCTATAAGACATATCACCAATGCAGAAACTGGGAAAACTAAAAATGGGGATAGAAGAGAAAATTAGTAGCAATGAACAACTTCCCTGTCTTCTGTATGATTATATTCTGTATGTTTGTGTGTGAGTGTGTTGTTGGTGTGTAGACTAAACATGTTAATTACTGTAGAAAATGATTTATTGCAGAACTATATCAGATTCATGCTGAGTTCAAGTTCATGTCAAAAAATGTTTTGGCTGAAATCAATTTGGTAGTCATCATCTTCTGTCACATATACACATACTTCCATTTTCTTTTTTTTCATTTTTTTTTAAATTTGGTATTAACCCTCTGTTCACTAATGTTGGATAATTGAGTCTTTTTGTGTATTGAAACTTTTGCATCAATAAGAAAACTTTGCAATGAACCCATATTACAATTTATTTTACATTTTTTCCATCTTCTTATCTCAAACTTAAACGCATTACGAATGTTTAGTAATATTGAGTTGAATGCAAATGTTATTGAAGAAATTTGCTACAGGGGCAGGAAACCCTTTCTTGCACTCATAAGAGGCATAATCATAGCCTTCAGGTTAAAATGAATAAAATCCTACTGTGTAATCAGCATGGCTTACATCTGTGACTTTACACGGTATTCTTTAAAAGGCAATCCAAATTCTTAACACTTTCTGGAAATAAAAAGTACTGTATAAAAGGGAGTCTTTGTAATGGAGTTCTGGTAAATGAATCTGGAAATAATAGTGTTTGGTTCATATTCATGTTTCACATTAAATCTGTCGATGAATATGAAGTCCTCAACTGCAACATGAAATTTTTATTGAAAGTTATTGCTGGTTTGTTCTCAATACGATCATCTGATTTTGTTATATGCTCTTTATTGTGCAGTACAATAGAGTAGCACACTGTTCAGCTAGAAAAATTACAGTGCCATAGGAATCAGGTGTGGAAAACACATATTAGGTCATCAAATCCGGGCTCTTATTAGTATTAGATTGTTCCATGTGGTGTGCTTTGTAGTGCCGGGTTCAGTGCTCCTGATTACAGGGTTACACCGCTCCCCTTAAAACCTTTTGATTAAATCTGATGGTCAATAACTTTTTCCTAGTGTTCAGCTTAAGTCTTCCTTTTTCTGAAGTCATTCTATTACTTCCAGTTATTCTTTGCACCTCTTTAATAATTTCCTCTGCTTCCAAAGCAATTTATACTTCAGATGTGGGCAATTATCGCATCAGTAACTTGCCAAGTTTGTTTATTTGATTCTCATTGAAACTGAAGCCTTTTTACATTGTTCTGGGAATATCAGAGGATCATGAAGTGGGTGAAAACTATATTTAAATTTATTTTAGGGTGGGTTATAAAGTGCTTTTAAGTGACCTTAAAATTGCAAATGAGAATGTTTACTTGGTGTCCGTGTTCATATTACTTAGTGCTGTTTGCTTAATTAAAAGTATCTTCCTCCATTCATGTTGCTGCTGTTTCTGTTTTGGTACCATGCAGATCAGGTCCTTGCTCAGCTACTTCACTGAATAACTAGACAAGATAGAAAATATTCAGGTGGAAGAAATATTATTTCTACTTTTTAGATGCAGAATTGTGTCACACAGAATATGGATTGTTCATCTGCAAATAAAGTTTTAAGGGAGAAACCCTCCAAAAATAGAAGCCACAAAACACTGTCTAGCACCTTCATCACAGTATTGTCTTCATTTAGCCAGTTTTTTCTACTTTTATCTTACCATACTCAGAAGCCCCTCAGGGAAACTTTAGCTGTGGATAGCATAGAGCAGGAACTGTAAACAATATTAACTTAACTGAAAATGTATTGAACTGAGACCAGGTTGGGTCCAGGATCTCTTGCCTCTGCTATTTAATTATTACTTATTCACTGTATTTTTCATCCTCTCTTGCTGTGCATCATCTCGTCTGCTAATCTGGGGTGGCACATGAATATTCCTCCCCTTCACTCATTTTTACACATAGAACAACAGAAATTAACCAAAATCACTTCTGGCGCAGCCAAAAGTAGAATCCACATCTCCAGTTTTACTTTTTATTTATTGATTTTCTTAAAATTTGGGGTAAGAGGAGAGGGAACTCTCCTAAAATACGTTTTCCTAAAATACGTTTTTTTCTTTTTTTGAAGAATTGTGTCATTGTCCTGTTTCCCCTGATTTTAAACCCATGACTTTAAGACTTACAGAATATATCTGAGTGTGTAGGAAACTGACCTGTATGAGACCCTTGTTACTTAGAGTAACACAGCAATTGCTTTGCTCATGTTGTTCCCAAGATTAGAAAAATCAGATGAATATTCAGGATTGGGATTGTTACCTTTAGATAGGAGTGTTTAAAATTGGAGTTCCCAAACCTGTTGGGTATTGATGGTTGAGCACAGTGTTCAGGACAGGTAGAAAATGAGAGACAGCATTGCAGAAGGACGAAGAAATTCTGTGGTTGTCAAAATACAGGTAAAAAGCATGTAAAAAAAAAATTTATGCCCAATTTCTTCACAGGTGACTTTGTAATACTCAGCCAGATATTTATTTTGGGTACACGTTTTAGGAGGGACACATTAAAGTTACTCGGGTAGCTTCAGTTTAGTAATTTTGTAGGTTACTACTGCTTGATATTTCAGCTCGAGTGTTCTTTTAGAACATTTTACGTATTTAATTAAAGAAAATTAATGATTGGAAGAAGGAGTGTTTTGGCATAAAAGCTTCTCCTCCAAGCTCCAAAACACAAATGAGATATTGGTCAAAACACGCATATTTCTAGCAGCTTAAGTTGATAGCTTGAACTAATTACCATAATTTATTAAAATAATTCTATTAGGGTAGTAATCCGTTTTATTTGCATATCACAGATCAGTCCCACCTACAGCCTTTGAAGAAACAGTCATGTGAATTTATGCACCATGATTTTTTTGTGATAGTTTTCCCACCTGAGCACAAAACTTGGTGTGACAGATTGAGTTAAAGAGGCATGAAAGCAGAAGGAAAATTAAAAATTTCTAAATCAATGTTTTTTTAATAATCTGTAAAGAAAGCATATAGGAAAG